TAGTAGCCTAGGAAGGAGGTGTAGAGAGCCAGAAAATGGAGTGTTAAGTATCCTGTTGGTCCACGAACCTGCCCTTAGGAAATGCTATTCTAGTAGGATTGGATCTTAATATTTGACTGGCATCACAGTTGGGTTGTTTACTAGAAGACTTAGTGGAACTTCTTGCTTGGGGTGGTATAGCCCTCCCAGGATAGGCTGGGAGACTCTTCAGGATGCATCCAGGGCACCCAGGAGAGTTTCCAAGGACTTAGGCCACTGCAACTTCCTCCCTTCTTGGAAAAGAATGCCGAGCACAGCTTCCCTCCCTAGATCCCGGCCATATGCTCCATTAATCATGGTAGGCGCTTTGCCCAGCTTGAATTAGCCAAGCTGGTGGTGCTCCCCACTTTCCCTCGGAGGGCAGTGGGCAGGCCAGCACTGGTAGGAGTTGTGCTTTCTCTCTGCTTGACCAGGAGCTGCTGGATGAAAGTCTGCCTATACTATTAGTGCTGGCTTAGGAAGCTTGGTTTTCTTGCCATTGTGATGGGTGTTGCAACTCCTGGTCTCTGGGTCAGGCCAACAACAGCACAGTGAAGCTGCTGTGGGTCTTGAGAGTGTTATGGGGGAGATGACATTTCTGGAAAGAATAGTTAAATAAAGTTATTGCATTTTTTAAAGGTGGGAGGTAGTGGTGTTAATGGCAATACAGAAATAAAGGAACATTAGATCATATTTCCATAAAATCTATATCTACTTGTAATATATCACAATCCATATATAAGCATATATGCCTTACTGGATCTATTTCCATGTGTTTAATAAAACTTAAAATAATTTTAAGTGAAAAATATGTATTGATGAATCAAGCCTTAGGTAGTTTAGTTCATTTTTTGATTTCCCAAGAGAAATAATACCTCAAGATTCCCATTGAATTTCTGGACTATTTGGTTGATGCCTTATTGTTCCTGACCTCTTTTGGGGAAAGGTTGTCAGGAAGTTCTATATTTGGAAGATTGGGATGCTCTGAAGAAAACAACACCCGGCCTTTCCTCTTGCCTCACCCATGGGTCACCAGGAAAAGCATCAGTGTTGAGAGGGAATGGGATGTTGCTTCCTGAGAAGCTGTGCCCTCAGAAAGGAGGGGAGACAAATGCCCATCTGACGGACCAAATCTCGCTACCCCCTGCCTTGGACTGCCTTTTCTGGGAGCCAGCTTTCCCCCTTGGGTCCTTGGGAGATGCTTAACTTTAATTGACTCAGAGGAGTTCTTTCTGTTTCAAAAAACCACAGAGAATTGGGAAATTAGGGTTCTATTCCCTCTTCTCATGCTAAACAGATTTGTACAAACACATCCCACATATTCAACAGCTCTAGGACAGAATCTTGGGCTGGCACCAGGAGTAAAATTTGTGATCGGCTCTATATTTCCAGCAGCCGCCTTAGAAGTTGAGTAAGCTCTTCCCACATAGAAAGGAACTGTGCTGTGAACTTAGCTCTGGGAGTAGCCCAGTGTGGGGGGGTGTCTGTCTAAATTGGATTTTTTTCCCCATTCACAAGTGATTTCCAAACAACTCAAAGTGGTTACACTTATGGAGAGGACAGGGTTTACAGGGACAGATCCCACTGCACTCAAGTGCTTCTGCCTTTGTGAGAGACAGGGTGCCGTATCTTCCTCAGGCTCAGCAGTGAGGTCCTGTCCATAGGGTCTATTTGTCATTTTCTGCTTTCCATGTCTTTGTGTTTCACAGCCCAAGGAATTTTGGCTTCAGAGAAATAAATGGACCCAAGAGAGAATTATATTTTAAGAAACAGAATGATGATCGCTCACATTTTAAGTTAATAATAAAATCCGAATGCCATTGGGCAGCTCCTCCCAGCAGGGAGAGTGTGTGTAATCCATCCTTAGGCCAATGTGAGAGCCTGGCATTTCTAGGGCATAGAGGAGGCCACCCTCATGCAGTCTAGGAGGAGCCCACTTGGGACCCTGTGGCTTAAGAGAAGATTAAACACTGGGGAAATTATGTGAACAGAGAGAGCAGATGAGCTGTGAAGGTGGAAATAGAAGGGAAGGCTGTTTGTAGGATTATGTAAACAGTGGAAGGTTGGAGAGCATGCCTTTCTTGCTTTGAAAGTGACTTTCAGCCTTACACTTCTCTATCTGTTTGCTGCCTTTTTGTCTTCTCTTCCATGGCCAAGACTTTAGAGTGTGTCCTACCTCGTCACCTCCCGTTTATCCCTGATCTACTGATGTTCAACTTCTCTCTCTCTTCCTCCACAAACTGCTCTCATCAAGGTTACTGATGACTTTCTTGCTGAAAAAAAAAAAAAAGCAAACCAGTACAGTTGTTTTATTTAGCTTTGCTCCATCATTGACATGCTTCTCTCTCTCTCTCTTTTTTTTCGGTGACACTGTTTTTTTTTTTTTTTTTTTGGTTTGTATGTGTGTTTGTGTGTGGTGTGTGTGGTGTGTCTGATTGTTCTGTCTCTGGTTGTTCCTTCTTAATCTAAGATGTCTTGCTGGTCCACATCATAGGGTACCTTCCACAGTGTTTCTTTTCCTGTTTTACATACACTCCCTAGGGAATCTCATGTATTTTTATCACTTCAGACATAATCTATGTGTTATCAGTATCTTAAATCTGTGTTAGTATCATTAGCCCAGTGATCTTTTCTGAGTGGCAGATATTGTACATCTTTACGTTGTATTTTTTTTCCCTGAATCTTATTTTTGTGGAAATATTCAAAGCAATTCGTATTTAATATGTCCAATTAGTCAAGCTTATTTTCCCTCTTATCTCTTTCCTTTTTTTTTTGTAAATAGCATTGTGAAACCCTGAAACGTCCAATCCAGAAAATTCAGTTTCTTCCTTGTTTATTAGCTTCCCAATCTCCCTGCTTTTCATACTTCCCCTGTTCATTTTTTTATACAATAGTGAGATTTAATTTTAAGGTAGCTAAGATCGTATTGATCCTTGCTTATGGTTTCTGGTGGCCTTCTGGTGTCACAATCCAGCCTTGATAGCAAGACCCACAGGACCCTGCCTGGTGTGGCTCCCTGTCCCTTCCTGTTCTTACTCTCACTTCCCGTGGCCCAGGTGCTTGGCTTTTCTTCCAACCTACCGTAAGGCCCTTTGCTATTTTGCTGTCTAGAAAACTCTAACTCCAGAGTTTTGACATGTCCTGTGGTGAGTTAAGATGTCACCTCCTCCAGCGGGTCTCTGCCGTGTTCGTCCTAGAATTCACCACCCCCCTGTGTGGCCTCGTCAGTTACTGTTGTGTGTTCTGCATTGAAGGTTTAGGGGTCTGCTATTCATTTCTTTATTTATATTTTCCTTGCCATTCCTTCTAGACTGAGTTACATAGGAGTAGAGACATTGCCTTTTCATTATCTTCTGGTTCCTCAAAACAGTGTCTGCCACATGGTAGGCAACAGTGTCTATTTTTTTTTTCAAATGGACAAAAAGAACAAGCGGTTGGAATTCCTGACCATCAGCCAGTGATGATGTGTGCAACACAGGGTAGTCAGCTTCTTCTGCACACGAAGCTCTCTTTCCTCTTCTACTTATTTGCTTGCTCAGGACTGGCTTCTGTCACCTCCGGCTTTGGTAGTGTGGGTTAATGGCCCCAATCTCCTTTGTACCCCATAGGCAGTTACAGTGCTGTTTCGTGTCAGTGTCTCTAAACCTCCCATCAGCCCAGCTTCTGGCAGAGATGCTAGTTGATTTGTATCCCCAAGGCCAGGGCAAATTAGTAAACAAACAAACAAGCAAACAAACAACACAGCCTAGAAACTATTGAAGTAATTACTTTGCTGAATTAGTTGGTAAATCACAGACTTCTTTGGTAATAAAAGTTAGCTGCTTCTCAAGTTTACCACTTGCCAGGTTTTGACTTTTAGAGATTGAGATTTTAAAAACAGGGGCACATGCAGACCTGCTTGTAGAAAAGGCACACATCCCTATTAGTGCTTTGATGTTAACAATGACGTTAGATATGACATTTATATTTCCTATCCATTTCATGTGTCTGCGATAGTTAGTTTCTCTCACAAATGATTCTGTAAGGTGTGGGCATCACTATTCTAATTTCACATATAGGGAAACTAGCACTGAGATGTACTGATCTGTTCAAGCAAGTGCAGCTCGTAAAATAAAATTGGAATTTGAATACAGGGCTTTGGTTTCTAAGCCCAGGCTCTTTCTGCTGCACCATGCTGCCCCCTATGGGACAAGCCTAGAAACCAGAACTGCTCACTAAAAGTAGTATGGAGATTATAATATTGAAGTGGTTTTAAGACGTAGAATTAATAACGGCGCTTTGGATGGCCACTGCTTTTATTGGGTAGAAAAATGACACTAGATTTAACCTGCTCCAAGGAAGAGGATTATATAGTATTGCTTATATTTATGTCCTTTTAATCTGCCTATAAGCACAAAGATACTTTGTAGAAATCCGTGTTATCCCAATATGGTATATGCTAATAGTATTTGCCACATCATCACATTCTTAATTCCTAAGGCACACTGTGTGGCATTTGTTTCAGCTTGTTTCTTAGACCATCATGCCCGTGACTATCTGACTTGACTTTAGTTTCAGGATTCTAGTTAGTTTATCCAAGATTTTTCTCTTCCTCCCTTTCCACTCAAGAACATGATGTGTGGGGGTGTACCCTCAACTCTTGCCTCAGATGGAACCAGAGGCTGAGCTGATGTCCTTACCTGAAACTGCAGCAGTTCCCCTTCGAAATTTCTGGACTTCCATTCTTGCTCTGTGCCCTTCCATATCTTGGGTGTGTGGACCAGCCCTGATCTGATATTCCCTACCCCCAGCTAAAGCGATCTCATGTTATTGCACTAGTCCCCTACCCATCTATGGTTCTGCTTTTGTTTCCTTTATGCTTTCTATTCCCCCTGAACCACATCTCTACCACTTTCTAGAGATAAGGCATCCCCACAACGAGCATCATCAGTGAAGACAGGGCTGAGAATCTGGTGGCCAAGCCAAAGGGCTTTAGATCTTACCACTCATTGCCTTTCTTCTGTGCGTCTCTGGGGATGGGGATGTTGACGGAAGACAGTCTATATGTGATGATGTAGAACTGATCTTCTTTAGATTCTGCTCGTGGGAGGAGTCTATCAGCTTAGTGATGGGCAAGCCAAAGACGGGTTGCTTGTATCTTGCGTACTGTAGGGCATCCATGATCCACCTCATTTCACGCCAGACTTCATCTGTTTGCTTTGGAATAAAATGGTGAAAGGCGTTAAAAGAAATACATTTTTGAGAGAGTCTAAGATGAGCTATTTTCCATACTATTGGTTTCTACGGCATTGGTTTGGGCCTTACTCGCTTTGTAAACTACAGACGAATACCCAAGAGGCTGCTGTGATGACTGAGTAGGATGGCGGTCTGAGAGTTTCTACAACGCTGTAGAGTACTTTGCTCACACGCATAAAGCACTATTTTCTCTCCCCGTGTAATGAAACACATAGTATCAGAGAGGTGATGCGATGCCAATGATCTACGAACTTCAGAATGCTTGTACCTGGGTTCTGGGAAAGATGTAACTCTATATATTAAACTTGCTACCTTTGTATATATAAAGAGAATGCTTGCAAAGTCTAATGCAGTTTTCCAAAGCTCTTGTTAGAAAATGTAAACACTCTCATGGTAGTACATTTTAGATCAGCATCAATTTGATGTCAGGGTTACTGTAGTGGTTTTAGTGACATTTTCATTATAACATACAATAGTAGTTGCTAGGGGTTTAAAAGTCACTCATGTTTGTCTTTCACTGTAGGTGACAGGTGCTCTTCAGATCACGATGAACACTGGCCATGAGCTTCCTGGCTGTCCCGCATCCCAGTAAGAGACCACAGACAATACAGGTTCTTGGGAACCTGTAGCTTGTGGTTGGCTTTACATCTGATTTCACTGGGTACCTTGGCAAAGTGTTGATCTGTTTGTGTTCATTTCCCAGTTGTAAATTGAGGACATTTAACTATGTAATAGCTAAGGTAATGCCCAACTCTAATACTTTAGCATTCTTTTTGGAAAACACTCAGAAAGCTAGTGCCACTACCTTTAGGTAGAAGGTGTTCATTGTAAGAATAATGGCATATTAAGAGTACCTTACTGCAGAGGTTTTAAAGATTAGGGGTCACTCAGTGTTTATTTTCAAAATTTCTTCTTAGATCTTTACATTTAACCATATACTTAAAAAAAGTATCAACAAGCCTACCACAGAATAGATTTTGGAGCTCTGGCATTCACTGTCGTGTTCACTGAGAGAACAGGCTAACGTGAGCAAGTGAGCGAAACTGTGTGGTTGGGGGTCATTTCCCCTTGCCTTCTAGTTCCATGCTGCCCTTGGATTAGCCTTACCAGAGTATGCAGGGCTGGCCTTGAAAGCACAAGATGGAGGCCCAGGGTTTGTTCACTCCCTTAGCTGGGCAGGAAGTTCCACAGCAGCCAGGCCCAGGCCGGGGCGCTAAGTCACGGTAAGGGGAGAGATGAGAGGAAACTGGGAAGTTCATGAGGTAGTGCCAAGTTGGGACTCTCAGGTGAGATACACATGTATTTTCCTGATGAAACAGTTACTTTCTCAGTTGGCTTTTGTTGGTCATTTATATTCAGTGTACAGTGGTCTCCAAGATATTTCAGAGGAACCACATGATTGTGAATAACTTTTTTAGAGCGCCTGTCAAGGACAGGAACTGTGTTTTTGTATTTTTCTTCAAGTAGCTGCTCAGGGTACGCTAGCAGAGTGGATGAAGGGATGGGCTGGTTACACAGCCCTACTCTTGGGTTTTTGGAAGGATTTAGGGCATGTGGGTAAGTGTACTCTGCAAATCAATCAATAGTATAACGTTTTCAGTTGTATGATGCCAATCATGAGTATTTCAGTGGGCTGAACGGAAATTCCTAAAAGATTCCCCGACTCCTACTCCTTGGCACCTGTGATTATTACCTTATATGATAAAAAAGGGAGTATTGCCTCCCATGGCAAAGCTGAGGTTGTTAAGAATTGTGGAGGGAGGGTTCGCCCTGGATCGTCTGTGGGAGCCCCAAGTTCTGCGACAAATGTCCTCTTAAGGACTTGCTTGCAAGAGTGAGGCAAAGGAAGGCTTGGCAGAAGGGAAGAAGCAGCCACAAAAGTAGAGACGGACAAGAGCTAAGGAATGTGTACCCTCCCCACCCGAATCTGGGAGAGGCAAAGAGTGGACTCTTCCCTGGAGTCCCTGAGGAGTGAAGCTCTACCCATGGGAATTTCGAACTTCCGCTCTCCAACACCTAGAATAGAGTGCTGGCACTTTAAGCCAACCACTTGGTGGTAACTTGTAAACTGGTGTGAGTTTTTCATGGCAAGCCACTTGTCCTTCTTAGATAAAGGTGTTCCACTCTATGCTAAGCGTGGATAGAGCAGAATGAAGCGGTGCTCGCTTACTTCTTCTCGGTAGTGAGGTGGAGGAGGTGGAGAGGGCCTAACTGGAGAAAACTAACCGTGCCCTTGGTTCAGGGAGGCCTGCGGCTTGAGTTTAATGAAACCTTGCTAAGTAGCCCCCAAAGAAGCCCAATTTCCACTTATTTCACCCTTCTACTGTTGATCTAAAAGCAACTGACAACATAATCCCCCTGATTTTAAGGTCCAAATTCAGCTTCTGAAGACTTGCTGACATGCTTTTCAAACGGGCGGCTGTGAACCGCCCGCGTCTGTTGATTAAAGGTTCTGCATCCATTTCTCACCCTGCTCTCTACAAACTTCAGTTTTCATCCTATAAATTACACCCTTGCTCTGTGCCCAGGCAAGATAATATTTTTATTAAAATGTAAAGGTGATTGGCTTTCTCACAGCGCAGCTACAAGGTGCTCGAGGGGATGATGGATTGGCTATATTTAATGAGCTGTGTTTCTATTACGGCTTAGGCGCATTTGAAGCATTACAGTATATAAATTATGGCCTAATTGCCCTTTTGGCTTTAACAGCTCAAAGTATGCTAAGCCTTAGGTCTTCATGCTTTGACTTTTCTTTCCTTCTCTCTCTCCTCTCCTCTCTCTCTCTCTCTCTCTCTCTCTCTCTCTCTCTCTCTCTCTCTCTCTCTCCTTCCTTCCTTCCCTCACTTTGCCATTTCTATCACATGTACTGTCTATAAAGCCTGTATACCTTATCTGTGAGTTTTCTGTGCCTCCCCTAGCCCAGGCCTTCCCGTTTTGGCTACACTCCTTGGCTTCTTTTCCTAGCTGTATTTACACAGATGCCCCTGCTCTTTACAATGTTTGGTTTGTGTAGTAACGCTGTCTTAGATGTAGATGGAACTGGCAGCAGCCTCTGCAGGTTCTGGTTCCAGTGTGGGGTGGGCTGCGCTGTGAACACCAACGGGTGAGTGGCTGCAGCTTGCTGTCAAGTTTGGGGTGGGGGGTCTAAGCTGTCGACATAGGTAAGGGGAGCTAGGACACTGAGTTGTCTGTTGTGAGGTTGCTCATATCAAGGGTAGCATGCCAAAGGCTGTGGATCCAGGTAGATAGTCTGGAATTACCCTACTCTAGGAGTCAATTTTTAACACGTTGGCAACTGACTTTTATCCAAGTCTGTGTGCCTATAGGAGTCTAGAGCAGGCAAGAACTTTGAAAAATTCTTGGCCGGGCCTGCCATTATTTAGACCACTTAAAGATGCCATCAGAAGGAACGAGAAAAGAGGCAGTAGAACTCAAAGCTAAGTGAGAAAGAAGCATAGAGCCAGGGATTCTGGAAGGGTTCAAGACTATCACAGACCAAAGAAAGGTAGTGTCCTCAATGGATGAATGCAATTTAGGGATGCTGAAGCCGAAAAAGGCAGAGATACAACCCAATGCATGGTTAGTAAAGTGTTTAAGATGTTTCTGGTTGTAGGTCCTAAAACTGTTAGAGGTGACTAGGACCTGAGACTTCCTCTATTCAATCCTGCCATTGGAGATAAGAGAAACAAGCCCTCCCTCCAACCTCCAGATCAAACAGAACACTGTATGCTCCAGAACTAAGAAACATGCCTCCTGACTTCTGGCCTATTATTACTAAGACAGCGCCTCTCTATGTGAGCCAGACTGGCCTTGAACTTCTCGTGTACCCCAGGCTAGTCTTGAACTCTCAGCCCTCCTGTCTCAGCCTCTCTGGTTCTGGATTACATGTCTGCGTCAACAAGCCTGGCTTCATTATGGCACTGGACTCCAAAGATAAGTAGAGGACTGGAGTGGCTGCTCAGGGAGTCAGAGAACCTGCCCTGCAAGCACAAAGTCCTGAGTTTAGATCCCAGGTACCGCATAAAGAGCTGGGTGTGGCCATATGCACTCTCTGACAACTTCAGTGCTGAGTAGGGCTCGGAGGGAGGGGTTTTCAGAAACACAGAGATTTGTGGGATTTGCCAGCTGCTAGCTTTGCTGAAAAATGGCTAGCTCCATGTTCTGTGAGAGACCCTGTCTCAGAGGGACGGGCAGAGCACTTGAGATCTCCCGAGCCTTCTGACCTCTGTGTATACACAGACATACACGCCTACATACTCGTGTGCACATATTACACACACACACACACACACACACACACACACACAGAGAGAGAGAGAGAGAGAGAGAGAGAGAGAGAGAGAGAGAGAGAGAAAGTCTTCATTGTCTTATCTTGTCCCCTTCTTTTTCCTGCTCTGTTTCTATCATCAGCATCTGTTCTCTACTGGAAATGAAATAAACGGGGTGAATGTTTTAAAATTCTAAATCTCAGGTGGAGAGATTGAGCAACTTCCTGAAAAGCTACTTCTTTGGTCTGAGAGTCGTCTTCATTTATAAATGAGGAAAATAGGGTAATTCTACTGCTTAGTAATGTTTTTTCTAAATACTACCAAATCTTCATTCCTCTCATTTTTATATTTCAAAGGACTTTTATTTCTAGCTTTTTATTGTTTATTTTTGAAGACTTGGTCTCCTCTAGCTCTGACCTTGAACTCACAATTTAGCTAAGGATGACCTTGAACTATGGATCCCCCTAGTCTCCTTCCTAAGGACTGGAATTACAGGCATGCCTCGCCTTGCTTGGCCCTGTACTACTTCTTAATGAATGAATATACAATTTATTGTGTAGTTAGTATGTATGACTATTATTATCAACTCCCCCCTTTTGGAGACAGAGTCTTGCTATGTAGCCCTGGGTAGCTTAGAATTCTCTCTGTAGACCAAGCTGGCCTTGACTTTACAGAGATTATTCTGCTTCTCTCTCCTGAGTGCTGGGATAGAAGGTGTAGAATTCCATGCTCATCTTACCATGACTATCTTTTCACAAATGATTAGGAAATGGGGAGTGTGTGTGTCTGTGCACACATATGTTTATGTGTTTATGTGTGTGTGTGTGTATGCATACATGTATGCAGAGGTCAGGGGACAACCTTCAGGGTGTGCCTCAGGAACTCAGTCTACTCTGTTTTTCAACACAGGGGTCTCTCATTGCTCACCAGGAAGCCTAGGCTGGTCATTGAGCAACAGAGGTCTTCCTGTCCTTGCATTCCCAGCATTGGGGTTACAAGAGCGTGTCTCATGCCCTGGCTTTATTATGTGGGTTCTCAGGGCCTCATTCTCCCAGGTAAGCACTTTACACCAGCCTAGGGGACTTATTTTTCAAGCCTCAAGCTCACAGTGTTACCTTCTACTGAGTTCTTTTTACTTTTTGTTTGCATAGTTGCTGGAGCTTCTGGTCTAATCTGGTTCTTTACCTTTAGTCCTCTCCTTCAATTCTGGAGAGACAGCCCATTATTTAATGAGTAGGGCCAAGCAGAGGGCATTCTTACAGTGAACAGCCAGTATGGCATGGCCTCCTTGCTCCAATACGTCCGATAGAACTCTGAGAAGCTCGCTCTTTCTCCAAAGCTGAGGCTTGGGTACAGAATTAAGTGTGAATTCCTTACTGTGGCCTTTGGTATGGTTCTCTGGTCTGTTCTTATTGGTGTTTTTCATTCTCACTCTGTCAGTCTTGCCCAGTCACCCAACATTCAGCTCATGCCCCAACCAACCTTGACACCGTTTTATTTTCCAAAGCCCGTTTTCCTGCCTGTCTGCCCTGTCTACTTATTTTGTTCTCTCTGGATGCAGAACGTTCATTCTGCTCCTATGCTGTGCAGTCTAGCCTGTCCCACAGCCCCAGCTCAGATGCCATCTGGTCCTTTCATGGCATCTTTCCTACTGCCCGCAAGTGAAAGTCAAGGCTTATTTCTTTGTGTTGACATGGAAAACCCTTTCTTTTCTGGTATTTCTCTTTTGGTACCTAACATACTTTAAGAATAATACTTAAGGCATTTCCTGTCTACATTAATGAATTTTAAACAGTTTAAGGTCATGGCTATTTCAACTTTGTATCTCTCATTATAGTGCTTGATACCTGAATAGTTAATATTCCTAAAAAATGGATGGAAGGCATATAATATTGATGTTTATCATGGAACCATTACTATTGAACTTACTTTGTGAGTTGGGTATCTCATAGATAAGATTTGGATATGGCATTTAGAGACAATTTCAGGCTAGGTTCAATTTTCTAGATTGCTGGTTTGTGCCATCTTCATCAATCTTGAAGTGTCACCATAGACCATGGATAAGGAACGTAGTTTTCATATTCTCTCTCTCTCTCTCTCTCTTTCTCTCTCCCTCTCTCCCCTCCCTCCCTCTCTATATCTATCTATCTCTCCCTCTCTTTCATACACAGACAGACAGACAGACATTGACACAAACACATGCAAATACATACATTTTAAAGACACGATTTCACTTTGCCTCCAAAGCTGGTTTGGGACTCACTTTGTGCCCAGGCTAGCCTTGAACTTTCAATTCTCCTCCTTTAGCCTTCCCAAATGCTGGCATCTCAGCTGCACACCCTCACACCAGGCAAGGAATACATTTTCTCACCTCAGTAACCACGCGTTAAAGCAGTCCAGACCATGAATGATCTGGCTGGATCTGGGTTAACACAAACTGGCAGATCATCTTGTTTTCTTGTTCTCTGAGATACTGAGAACATTCTATGCTGGCTTTTTTCCTTCTTGGAACCATCATTGCACTAGTGGGGCAGCACAGTATTTGGACCATTCTCTGCTGCTGACCACAGTGGCTGATACAGTCCTCCGGACTGCTGCGATTTACCTGCAATTCACTGTTAAGCCTTTGTCTGAAAACTCAGTGCTCCCCAACACCACCTTCCACCAGATCCACAGGCTGTTGGCATAGCATGTTCCCTTGTCAGCCTCCGGTAGCTGCTCTCTCACCCTGTGCTCCCTGCGTCTCCCTTCATTATCCCAGGAACAGCCACGTTACCTGAATGAAGTCTAACACTTGCTGATGTCTTTGTTTGGCAGCGGCAACCTCGCTGTCTGAGATCGCTTCCCTCAGGGACTGTTGGGTATTCAGAGCGTCCAGCTCCACAACAGCAGAAAGGCGGCAATACAGACTAATAAATTTCTCTCTGTAGCTGCAAAAATGAACTGGAAAAAGGACAAGCAAAATAAAACATGTTAAGATCTCGTATCAAAATAGAGAAATTCATACAGCAGAGAAAAACCAGTCGAATGGAAACATGATTTATTAACCCTATCAGTGGAAAATATTAAGCCATAAATAAATTATAAATGTGCTCTTAAGGGGCCAGTTGTCTGGCTTTAGTCAGACAGTATTCCCTTTTAGGTTTACCAACTCCTCGTAAGGTATGGGGAAGCGGGTTGGCTCAGGCTGCAGTTTGGATGGACTTTTTCCTAAATTTGGGACCGTTTTCATACACAGTCATGCACCACGTAATGATGTATCAGTGATGGCTGCATATGCAGTGGTGGCCCAATAAGACTATATCACCCAATGACATCATAGCTGCCTACATTTGTGTAAATATAGTATGTGAGGTTCACATAATAACAAAATTGTCTATACAAGTTTCAGAAGCTCTCATATTGCTAAGTATACATTATTGTGTGTATGGCTGCACACACACATATATACGTGTGTGTGTGTGTGTGTGTGTGTGTGTGTGTGCATTAACTGGGAAAAAATCACTTTAAAGGGAAAACAAAAACAAAACAAGTAGCAGCTTGAAACCTAGATTTGATTTTAAGCATCTTGCTTACTCCTAACAGATGTGAGACACGCTTTTCTTTGGTTGTCTTTTGCCTAACTAGACATTTTTCCCAGGACCTTTGGGCTCTGAGTCCTTTTCTGCCTGTTCCCCCTTTGCAACTTTGGAAGGATAGTGGGTTGCGATTATTGGCCAGACCCTTTTTGTCTGTAGGTTCGGCCTTCTTTTCTCAAAACACAGTGGGACAGAGGCCATAGGAAAGAGTCTAAGTTGCATGCTCATTCTGTCTCTTTTCAGGAGAGGCACACGGCAGGTTTCTCTCTTCTCTGGTTCCGATGTGGTGAGAAAGCATCCCAGTGCAGAGCAGGGCTTTTCGGGTGTCTTCCTGCTCCATCCTCAGATCTGGAGACTTGCTGTGTCTTCTTGGGTGAGACATTCTAATACTACTGTCCAGTTTACTACTTCTGATCCTCTTTGCTGTAGAACCCAGTCCCTACATCCAACCATTTGGGGAAGCTAAACCATCCTGTTTTAGAATGGGGTGTCTGTTCATCTCTGCCTGTTATTGAAGAAATTTTGCTCCTTAACATAAGAGAGATTTCTGGGCATTTTACATCCTAATCTGCTCAATATCTGGCTTGGTACCCTCTTATGAGAAATTTTAGGCCAGCGGGAGGGTGGCCTGCACTGTCTTTGTTCACACGGAAGGGGAAGAGACTAGAATGAGGGCTTCGGTTGTTCTTTGCCCTGCACTCACTCTGACTCTGCCTTACTCTAGCTGTGTCCGCCCACTTCCTCCAGCTTGCCCTATTCAGTAGGCACCTCTCTATTCTCAGGGCTGGACTTGATTTTTCTGTTACCAGCTCATTCCTTCCTAGCCTTTCCGCACGCTTAGAGCATCCTTGTCTTGGTCAAAGAAGAGCTGGTTCCAGGTTCTGCTAGTAAAGGACAAGCTCTTATGCTTCTCCCACACAGTAGAATTCTCACATGAGTCCCTCTTTAGAATAAAAACCCAAGCACCTTTCACCATACGGAGACACTGTGATGGCCTAGGGGTTGAGTGCGAATCTTTAGGAACATCTTTCAGTGTACAGCTGGCTTTGTACTAACTCAGCTTTGATCAAAGCCAACTTAACACACTCTCCTTTATCCTTTTACACTTTTACAACTGCCCTCCCCCATTCCTAGATACCTGTCTCGACCAGTTCTTTCCAGACTCCCTTTGGTACTGACAGGGTAGAAACAGCTCCTCAGTGAAAGTTCCACTGGCGTCTCCCTTCCAGGCAGATCTCATTTCTCCCCGGGTCCAGAGAGGATATGATTCCGAATGTCAACTAAGACTTGCTCTGTTCTTGTGTATGTGTCTTTGGCTGCTTTGGTGTTAGGATACTTTTTCTTTCTTTAAAACGCCAAACACCATAGCTTCATAACTAACACTGGTTGAGTAATGAAGGCAGACCCTGGCCCTGAAGATGTCCTGTCCTAAGTGTGCTTCTGTCCCTGTGTGCTGGGTTTTCCTACTTGGAAAGGTGTTTTTCAGTACTGTGATGTTGTTTACTGGCGGCTCCGAGGCAGGGAGTCACCACTCCTTGTAGCTTACTTTTGACCCTTAGAGTTCTCCGTCTTTCTGCCCTTCAAGGAGGGACTACCTCCTGGTAGCACGTGACAGGTCCCCCCCCCCCCCCCCCCCCCCCCCCCCCCCCCCCCCCCCCCCCCCCCCCCCCCCCCCCCCCCCCCCCCCCCCCCCCGCCCCCCCCCCCCCCCCCCCCCCCCCCCCCCCGTCGGCTGGAGAAAGAAGAGCCTCACAGCCTCCTTTCCCACATAAAGTTGGAAACAACGACAACAGTAGTCTTTTTTTCCTCTTTCTAAAATATGAAAGAAAGTTAACTGTGTAAAGAAAGCGAACGATCCCTTTGAGAGCAACAGTATCGGTCTCTGTGAATTCTCAAAGGCTGGCGTATCCCGTTTTCTCTCAAAGGCCAGGGAATTGGGTTTTCTCTTGCGTTTTGTGGTAGGAGCTATGGATCAGTGGGTGGTCTCCCATACCCACACCATCCAATGCCATCCGTGCCACGCACCGCAAGTGAGTTATGAGAATGTTTCAGCTGTAACACTTTCCCTGCTCTAGCGGTTTCTATCCAGAGCCTTTAATGTCACTTTGACAAATGTCCCTTTAACGTAGTCTTTTTGTGGTTTAGCAATGATACATTTGGTAGCCATCCCCTAGGAAGGGAGGATAGACTGGAAGCTTCTAATTTTTTTTTAAATGTGAGTCACATGCATTTTGCAAACAAACTGGTATCAGGCAATGATAACGGCATCATTGGGACGACATGATTTGTGAGTAACACGCAAACTGAAACCAACTCCCTGTGGCGGTGTTTCTCTTCTATTTTCCCTTCTACAACATAGAGACAGACTAGAGTACAGCTGGCTGAGCACTCACAGCACAGCAGAGTAGAAGGTGCATGCACTAGTGCCATGCAGGTCTGATTTTTGATTGCAGCTGTGCCTCTTAAGACTAGTGTGCGTGATAGGGAGATGACCTTCAAAGACCTCAGAAGTGTCCCCTAAAACAGGGCAAAGGAGGGCTCCTAAAGAGGAACCAACACAGTGCGTATACAATACCCAACATGTATATGAGAAACACTGGAATCAGTGTGTTCCCACTCCCTTCTCCTACCCCTTAACTTCCCAGGAAGAATGAAACATGTAATAGTTCAAATGTGAGCACCCTGGGATTAGAATATTCTAAGAATCCCCATCTCTTCAAACTCTGAGACTGTCTGAGAATTGTGGCCTCTTTCGAGAGTCAAAGAATCAGCGAGATAGCCTCCCAAGAGAAATTTAGTGCCACGAGGTTTTGCCAGAAAGCCCCTGGGCCCAGAGTGCTGCACAGAGTCCTGGTAGGGATACGAGCTGACACTTAGAATACTGGAGTGGCCTCTTCAATTAGAAAAGACGGGGATCAGGAAGAAAGGTTGGTGCTGGCCCATTTCCTCCAAGCCTGGGGTCTGGAGCCGATGAAGCTCGTTGCCTAGATACCCCACAGGTGTCTCAAAACTCATTTGTCAAACTGAACTCACTATCCTCCCCTCCCCCAACTTCTTCTTTCCCTCATATTTCCTGACTTGGTAGACGGCAATGCTGTCCAACTTAGACCCCACTTCAGACCCTTGGGCTCCTCCATCTTGCTCCTCAGCTGCCTCAAATCAATCACAACGTTGCATTGATTTTTAACTCCTGAATCCACTTTGCCTCTCCTTCTGCCTCTATACCCCCTCCCCCACCCGGTGCCAGCCCTGGTTCTGAGGTCTCATCATTGTTCACCCAGATCAGCAAAACGGTCTCTTAGTGGTTTTGTCCCCTCTCATCTCAGGCCCAGTACCTTGATTTTTGTAATCTGTCCTCCCAGAACTGCGGAGACCCAATAAGCCCATATCATTCCTTTTCTTAATACCTTTTTACCATTCATCATGCCCAAAGGATGTAGTCTCAACTCTTTGGAGCAACCGCCATAATTTGGACCAGCTAGCTTCCCCGGAGATGTTGAGTGTCCATCACATAACTAAGGGTAGGATCTAATCAACATAGCCTTTGTTCATTCTGTCCTGTCTGTGTAAAATCATTTCTCTTTTCAGCTTCTGAATTTTGATTTATCCTCCACAATCCATTTAAAATATTGCCTCTGAAGGAAGATTTGAGCCTCTTTCTATCTAACAGTGGGGCTTTCATTCTATTAGGATTATTGGTAGGAATGCCTCTGTCTCCTCTAGGGTCTGGTATTTAAGCTGTGCACTGTGAATGTCTGCAAGCCCACCTAGCACAGTATCTGGCATCTAATGGAAATTCAGCAAATGTGTGTTGAACAAAGAAGGGTATGTCCAATTTTTAAAAAAAAAATTCTCCAGTATCTCTGTCCTTTTAGTCCAATTAGCACCAATTACAGAGCCAAGGAAATCAATAAAAATCAACCTTTCTCATTGTAGGCTTGCTGTTCATTGAGACTACCCACAGGGTCAGGGCAAGGTGACCTCTTCCGTGCAGGCTAGGCAGAGCCTCCAAAGGCCGCGTCATTGGATAGTGTGTCTAAGCTTATGACGTTGCTTTTCTTTTTCTTCTGGGAACACATTTCTTAAGGGCTTCCCCACACAGGCTTTATGGCTTTCCAAGGGTCCTATTCTGCTTTTGCCTAAGGGATGATGGAGGGTTAGCTGTAAGGTGGGGAAAGAGGAGTGGGTCTTTGGTGAAACTCCTCAGCCCTGATTGTCCAGAGCTCGGCAACATCTTCAAGTCAGTCTCCTTTGGCATCACAAACGGCTCCCTGAAACAATCTCCTGCGGGTGGGACCTAGTGGTCCTCGCTCCTGGAGACAGGAGGCTAGTCTTCTTTATCATTTTGCCCTCTCCACATCTGTTTGGTGCTGGACTGGGCACAGATGCAGATTTCCGTTGCTGGTCAGCATGTTATTTATGATTCACTTAAGGTCACTAGAGGGAACGCGGCAGGTTGCCAAATCTCACCTCCTTCCATGAGGTAGAGGCTGATGACTTAGACAAATCAAATTGAAATATAGTGCACTTCTTTATTCTAATTTACATATTCCCATAATTCACACCTTTTCAAGTTTCATTAGAATTCCCTTGTTGTTATTAAAGTTTTTCCTAGTTTGGACTGAATTTCCAAAAACATTCTTTTCTTTCTCAGAAATGCTTAGGGTATCTCTACCATTTACTATGGAATGTCCGAGAGTAGACGGCCATAGTTAATTTTTTTTTTCTTAGCATCTTCCTCAGAGGGACATGGGTCCAATACAGCAAGGGTTAAGAGTTCCTATAGTAACTGTCATTAATTTTTTAGTGGGCTCTGTCTAGTGGAGGGAAAGAAGGTTTGCCTCTTGGAAAATGCTGATTGTTTAAGGATAAGGTGGAGTTTGCCATGATTCTTACTAAGTACATGTAATCTGTTAAAATTTATTTCTGGTACAACAAACATTGAACTAGAGAGTGTATCAGTTACTACTTATTGGCAACACTTTATCCATGGTCTTTAAAAAAAAAAAACACTAATAGAATTGGAAGTGTCAACAGAACCAAGCCCAACCAAGTGGACTTTTCTGGAAACTTACATGGCAGTCATTAATCAGTTAGATAGCTCATGATACAGCGATAAGGGAGGGCCAAAGGAGTACCAGAGTTTGTCTTACTTGAGCAAAAAAAAAAAAAAAAAAAAAAAAAATTTAAAACCAGGATCTGTGAGCCACAGGCTTTGATCTATGGCCTGTTTTTCATAGATGAAGGCTGTGTATATGGTCTCACAGTTGCTTTTAGCAATAAGGATAGGTAAGACAGATCAAAGAGGCAGACACAGTTGGATTCTACTATATTACTTGGATGCCTGCATTTCTAAGTCTGTATTTATGTATTTATCTCTGGGTCCTAGGCAGAACCATTTAAGCTTGGATTTGTGGCGTCACTATTACCTGAGAACTTATTAGGAAATGCCCATTTTTCCCCCCAGCTCCTTCTTAGTCTGCTGACTCAGCATCACTGAGGCTAGACTCCAGGAATCCATATTTTAACAAGCTCTCCAGGTGATTCTTATGAACCTTAAACCTCAAGGAACATTATTCTAGGGCATTGTATCCATAAGTGTGTGTTTTGTGGATTTTTTTTTTTTTAAATAGATGCCATGCCAAAAATGTTTCCAGTTCTGGTCAGATGAAGTTGGAAAAATCTGGATTCAACAAAGTCAAGCTTTCTTTTTTTTTAGAGTGGGGATGGGAAAGGGGAGAAAGTGGGAGGGTGGGGTTGGGGAGGCTGCCTTTTGTAGAGCTTTTAACGCTATACTGCTTACAATTATCCACTGAGATGCTTTCCAAACGCATAGAAGGATATCTAAGATCCCTGTCTGAGTTTGTATGCCTTGAAGGATCCCGGCTTCTCCCACTGTGACCTCCTGTCTTATCTTTGCTGTCCGTGCTTAACTCGCACTGTGGACACTGCGCTCTTCTCCACGCCCACACTATTACTTGAAAGCCTCTCCACCTTGCTCTTCCTGTTGCCTGGAAGAGTCAGGTCTCTGCTCAGAAGTAACTTCTTGACAGAGGCCTTCCCAGGTCATCCTACACAGAGTTGCAACCCCCCCCCCCCCGACACGACACTCTGGTTCCTTTCCACGATTTGTTTTTCTTCTTAGCCCTTGTATCTCTTACGTTTGTGTTCTCTGTCCGTTGGTTTATTATTTGTACCTGCTCCCCCCCCCCACCCCCAAATGTGCACTCTATGAGGACCTGCAGGCTTTTCAGGGCCTTTTAGAAATGCCTGGCGCATGGTATTATTTGTTGGTGGGTGACCTAGCGAATCATGAGAAGAAAATGCATGCCAGTAGGCGTCAACAGTTGCATCGTGGAGAGGAACAGAGAGCAGCATGACAGAGGGTGGCTGGCCAAGAAGAGAGTGTGACATTCCCAGGATTGGTAGCACTCTTTCAAATGTTGGTGTCCCGCTGGGTCCTAGCAGGCATATACCATCATAAATGATCCCAAATCATTGATTGTTCCACCAGTGCCACCGAGACATGGAGACACAAATTCAAATTCACACACACACACACACACACCTGCAATCATCTTCCACAGAACGAAATACTGGCTAGCTTCACAATAAAGTGTTCTCCATCTATCTTTTGTCTTTATTTGTCCTATGGGAATCATGTGTGTTTTCTTGGCTCTAGCAGCTACTGTAGACTCTGCTGAAGTTTCCCTGTTTAGATCTGGCTTGCTCTTTGCATTTCTGCTGCCAATGTGATATGTTCACTTTGATGTTGATTTAGCAGCTTCAAATTCAATATTATCTAAAGCTAAAAGCACCCAAACTATGTTTTTGGTCTCTGATAGTTCTGATAAGGGCACTCGGGATGTTTCCTTTGCCCCGGTAGCATCAGCTGGCCCTTGGCTCCACTCACTTTCTCATACCTAAGCTTTTCTCTTTAGACCACAAGCTCTCATCCTACCACTGGGCTCTTAAACTCAGCTCTGAAGGTTTTGGCCTTTGCTTTCCATCCACTCTCCACATCTCTCCTGACTCTGGCAAGTCAGCACGGTCCCTTCTCCCTGTCCAGCTGGACGTCCTGTCCATGCCGCACAGTTCTCTGCTCTAACCAGACCGGGCCTCTTGTCCTTTCCCTGCCTTCTTCCTGCTACATCCTCATGTCTTCGCTAGTTCTTCTCACCATGACAAGAAAGCTTTCCTTTTTATATCTGTGCTTATTAACTTGCCCATGCTTAAACAATTGCATCAGATATGCCCTCCTGTATGAAGGTTTTCTGTGACTCTCTGGGAAAACTGGCTAGATGAAGCACCTCCTTGCTATCTTTCAGTTCTAGAATCCCTGTGATGTCTGGCATGTTATGGCTTATTTGGTGATAATGCGCACTCCCAGTTTACTTCATGACACTAAGTCTCTCGAGTGTAGGGAGTGTGCTGTGCTTACCTCTCAGGCTCCACAGTGCCCCGGGAGCTGTTTATTGACTAGAAATCTATGCGGGTCCCAAACTGTATCTTACCCTATTAGTGCTGCGAGCTGCGCGCTAGTGGTGTCTTTGGCTAGGGAGTGAACTAAGTGGTCACGCTGAGGCCTTTGGGGAGCAGTATGGTCACTGTTGTTCATCGTGTGACATAGCACAGGTGCGGTAAGGCTAAATGAGTGCCAGCGTCGTACAGTAGGGGACCCAGGATTGTCTAATCTCTGCGCGCCTGCTTCTAGCGTCTCTTAGGACGTCTCTTACCTCTGGGGTATAGCGGTGGCCATTCATCACCCTCTGGATGTCTTAACTGCTTTGAGCGAGGGCAACCAAGAGGCCTAAACAATCTATCCCAAAGACTTAGGTTCTGATTCAGATGCCCAGATCTCAGAATGAGGTTCCAGTCAATCACCTTGTGTGTTTCTAAATCTGGTGGTTTGGGAGCAGTCAAAAACCAGGTCTGCCTCCATTCTACCCACCCACTTGCTCAGCCACCCCCAAATTGGGCAATTTATTGGAATTGAGGGAGCCCTTGCTAATTGCCTCTTATTGGTCTGTTACAAGATGAAGCACCGGAAAGGAGACAAAGCCTCCCTGTTCACATTCTCAGTGGGCAGCGGGGGTCTCTGCAGAAACTGCAGCCAGGCTGTTCAGTTTGAAAGCGAGGACACGATCAGACACCATCCAGATTCCTTACGTTAAGGTCACAGTATTGCATCTTGGGAGAGCTTGTCCATTTCTCCAATTGTCTAGGCTATTTCGAGTCTATTTAATAGCAATCTGTTTATTTCATAAATCAAGGCTATTTGTTGATCCTTTTTTTTGCTCCAAGTTATATAAACTCTACATATTAATTTCATTGTTATTCTTTCCCAGTTAGAGGCTAGGGGCATAGCACCAACACATGTTCACAAACACATCATTCTCATATTAATATTCTAAGAAGTCAGAAGGGAGGCAGTAAGTAAGTCTGATAACTGAACTTTCAGTGTGGAATTCCTTTCTCTCCACTGGGCCTTCGCTAGGTTTCAGTAATCACTGCTCAGGCTAGTCCTGGAGCCTTGCTTTTGCTCACACTTGTACACAGTTCTAGGAGGGGTTGTTGCCAAAGCCATCATGTGATTTACTGACCCTCCACTGGGACAAGGGGGAACAGATACTACTTTGTGATTTTATTATAAGGAGGCTGGGTTAGCATTTCTAGGTGAAACAAGCCACTATACCTAGTTCAAAGATCTGAAGAGGGAGGTTAAGAAACCCTGAGTGTGGGGTGTAAGGATTATTCTGTCCTGGGGCTGTACAGACGTCGTCTGAGGCAGGGAGCAGGAGAAGAAAGGACACATTGTGACCCATTTCCAACACCTCCTGTGTGTAGAGGCGGAAGTTCCTTGCCTGCAGAGGGACACGCGCGGAGGAAAAGTAGGAGAGTTACAACATGGCACTCACATAAACAACACCAAACCGGCATAAAACATCTAACAAAATTACACAACTTCAAGCTTGGAATTTTTATACAACATAAATATTAGGGTTCAGCCCATTTAATAATGCTATATAAAATCAAGATTTAAGGCAGTAATGTTCCACATAAACTCTGAAAACAACATTTATGCTTCTTATAAAAGCAGAAAATGATTGCATTCTGTGGTCTTTTCAAAATGATGAATATAATTACACGAAGCAACAAAAATGGATTGAATTAAAAATCCACTAGTTTCAATTTAAGTTGGTTAAGGGGGAAAAATGTAGTTTCTGGCCAAGGACTGAGAAAAATTTACAAGTATAAAAAAAAATGTCGTATGCACTGTTATACAGTTAAACAGCCTTCTCCCAACATGTATGTATAGCCCGAGTCACCAATGAAATACGAGCTGCTTCAAACCTGCTAGGTCCAAGAAGCCCTTTAATAGAACCTACTGTCACAGGGAGCGCTGCTGTGCTCTTACTTTTTCTCCCTGTGAGCACGGGGCCACCCCCTCAACAACCCAGTGGCTCCGCTAGGGCCTTTAGCATCTCTTGCAATTTGGTCTCCGTCAGCGTTGGCTGCTTTGGACTGGCTGTGAAGTATAGACTTAAAATCGGCAGAGCCCGAGCAGAAGGACACTTCTGGAATTTTCTGACTTATCCCCCTGCCTTTGTGTGGCCAATTTGTAGTTCTTTCTCTTATTAAAAGAGAACAGGCCTAAGTGGTAATGATCTTCCCGAGGCAGGATGCGCTTGGTTCTCTGGGGATCTGTGTTTCGTGTCCTGGTGTCAGGCGCAGGGATGATGAAGAAAGACATAACCAAACACACAGCAGACAGCCCCACCCTTGAATGCAGCATGCTGCTAGCTTGTATTAAACTACTAGACAGAGCACAACACATTTTTACTCCTCATATGCTCACAGTTTCCCTTGGAGTTCTGACTTGCGGAGGAGAGATTTGCATATTTTGATTGAGGTAATGATTTTGTGAATAACAGACGACATGAAACCAATCAGCCATTGTTCTAAATCCCATGGTTATCCTTTTGCTCTTAAATCGTTTGTGTATCTAACTATACCGCTTTCATTTAGGCATGAGAATATGTATATATCCTCATGTTCCATGCTGTTCTGAAGCCGAATCTTGGTATCTTTCAGGGTAGGTTAGAGGGTGTTTTGCTGCTTGGTCAAAGCACACCAGAGTGGGGTCTGGAAACCTTGGAAGAGGTCGATATGAAGGAACAAGAGGAAAGGAGCTGGAGCACAGCCTGGGTCTAGTTGTAGGCATTAAATTCAAAACATGCATGTATAGGCAGAGTGGTATTTAAATAAATGACAATAAACATATGTACATATATATGCCTCTTGAGTAGGTTTTATGATATAACTCAGTTTCCATGAACCATAAAACGCAGATAAATAGGGGAAAGCCTTGTACCTGGTGGAGAGGTATATTGGTCTGCTTCAGGAGAGCCTTCACTGCCATCTGGAGCTCGGAGAAGAACAATTGCGTGGGGCAGTCAGCGGTATGATCCACACTTTCCATAGATTCCGAGCCAGAAAGCTTTTGGATCGACTCCCACTCCTCTCTGTATGTTGAGTCAAGTTCAAGTTAGAAATAAAAGAAAAGTTCGGAATACAGCTCAGAACTTTCTTGGTGTCCAGAACCCCAACGATCAGTCCTTGGTGCTTAAAATGCAAGGCTCTTTATGAAACTTGAGCCGTTGGCTACCTAAGCGGCGTTCACAGGGGCTCTTTCTGATTTCAGCTTAGTTCACCTATCAAAGCACCTGCGCCTCTGAACAGCAGATCAAAATGGCCTGCATGAATCAGCCTTTGCCACTGAAGCTCTCAGGTGTTGGTTCCGTTCCTGACTGCCCTTGTTTTCCTGCCTCTGTAAACCCTGAGAGCTTCCGTTTTACCCCAGGGGCATCTGCTGGATAATTCCACAGTTGGCTAACCACAGGACCCCCCATCCCACTCAGGCAACAAACCACACGGCCCATTTCAGCCCTGGCCTGTTGTCATCACGCTGGCTATTTGGGTTTCGTTCCCTTTCCAAAAGCTCGAGGAGAATCACAAACAGGAACAGCGGACAATTCCAATAAAAGGAACCAGGGGACACACACCGCTGCTTCCTTCCTCCTCCCAAACCAGTCAACTGTGGCCTCATTCTGCATGCTCTATAGTTCTTCCTAATGAACATTTCCAACTGTCAAGCAGAAGGCAAGAAAAAAGAATGGTGGTGGGGGGGAAGAACGTCTGGTTGGTCCCCCAAAAGCCACGCTTCTAAAAGGGCTTGAAAAGATCAAGGTAAGTGCCTCCGGCAACACTGTTTCCACAGGTATTTTGCACAAGTCTCTAAGCACATTCTCCTTCTAGCTCTGCAGGGAGCAGTAATGGGCCCTCAAGAGCAGCCTAGGCCACAAAGAAAAGCCTTCCTCTTCGTGGTGGAAGGCTCTCACCAAAGGGTCAGTACAGCCTGGGCTCCAGTCTCTGGGTCAGAAACCAAGCTGACTGTGCTGGAGGAAGTTCATTAAAAAAAAAAAAAAAAAAAAAAAAAAAAAGCAGCAAAGCAAGAGAAACAAACAAGTCAATCACCAACCCCACACTCTCTCTCTTTAACCACCCTCTTAGAAAAGTTTCTGTTTTTAAGAGATCTGTTTCATTTCAAGCCTCATACTGGACAAGACTATGGAAAAATCTATCATTTGTTCCAATAAGAGAGAGAGAGAGAAAAAAATCAAACTTAAGTCCTATTGCAATTTGGACATACTTTTAGCTTCACAACGAATTGAAATCCTTGAGGGCCTACTTGGGAATGATTTTCCCTTTCCCATCACTGATACATAACTAGATGAGAGGTTTATGATTAGCACAGTATACACAGACTCCAAAGGACACTAAAATGGGGTCTGGAACCAAATTAGAAAATCACCAGTAAGAACCACACTGCCACTAACTAGTCAGTGTGGGCTCTGAAGGGGGGTGAGAGGGTGGATAGAAACTGCAGAGTGAAGGCTGGTGCAATCTTTGGTACAAGTGAGTCTGGGTCCTTTGGAAGGGAAAGTCTGCTGATATAATTACTAAAAGATGGCGACTAAGACTTTATGACACAAATCCAGAAACAGATGGAAATGACCATTGCCCAGTAGACTCACAAATGAGCCCTGCTGTCTTCTGAAAAGGACTCTGAAGGTACTAGATGTTGATTGTTGAAATGGCCGCCAGAGGGCAGACTTAAAGTCCGGGTGCAATTGCTAAGTGGAAGAAGGGGCTATGGTGGTCAGAGAGTTCTCAACGAGACCACCACATCCCTTGCTCCTCAAGCAGCTTCTCCATTGCCATCAGTGGTGCTTATGCAACCCAGTGAGACAGTGTACTTACTAAAGTCTTGCCATTGCGGAGACCAAATTTCAAAGGGTCATGTTTGTTTTTGTTAAGCAAATACACACTTGTAAAAAAAAATTGAGTTTAGTTTGTATTCTGTGAAACCCAAAGAAATCTGGAGACTTTTGCTTTTATTATTATGTATTTCTTCTTTTCCTTCATTGTTACGTTGAGCACAGTTCAGTTCATTACAGCAGATGAACGAGAGGCCTGCCATTATGGTTAGCGATAAAGTTGAGCCCGATTACCAAAATAGGCAGCTCTCCCAAAACTAACAAAGACAGTCACCAAAGTCAGCCAAACCAAAGGAGAAATTTCTGGAAGTTTGGGCCTTGTTACTTCTTTCTTTCCACAGAGAATTGTCAGACATGTAAAAAACATAAGAAAGTCCGAAAGCTAGGGAGTTGGGAGAGGGTAGTGGTGAAAGTGGGTGGGGCTTCTTTAGATCAGGGAGGAGGCGTAGCTCCACTAGACGCCATCGTCTTTGTTGATGCTCCTCCCAGTTGACCTTATCCCAGATACTAGGACTCCATCAAGTTGCAGATCATCTCTCCAGAGATACTCCACTGATTTATCTAACACTCGACTTTCCTTTGGACACATTAGACCAAAGAAAATCCCAACTTTGGACCACTTACTTGGAGATGTTATTGTTTTCACGGATCTTCACGTGGCAGAGAATGTTGGGCAACTTTTGGGTTACGAGCACTTTGATCTGATCCACAGAGCTACATAGCTTTAGGTAACCTAGATACAGCCCAGGGGAGAGACGCTGATGACTCCTTTTGTGATAGGAGAGTATATCCTAGAGGGCAAAGAGAGAAAAAAATAAAACCAGATGGTCATCTCACAAGGCTGTCTCACAACCTGTTCTTCAAGGAACCTCAGGCACCACCATGAGTAGCAGGGAGGTGCTAAGGTTACAGCTCGTTTTATCTGCAGGAAAACGCCTTCTCTAAGTCAGGTAATCAGTCTTTAATATATGTTTTGAATGTTTTCTTTTTCTCAGATTTCTTTGCCAAGGCTAAGTTTGTGAATAGGTTGCTGCTGGCGAGGCAGATGATAAAGAAAATTTTTTCTACCCGTGTGGAATCTGTCCTCTGAGGGCTTATAGCTTAGCTGTGGGGAAATGAACATTTGTCTGTGTAAACGCTGACAAAAACACATTATTAGTAATTTCAGGATAATTAAGGTAGGAAAGTCTAAAGAAAACTATTGAGAAAAGAATCTAAGTAGAAAACAAAATGTGTGATTCTTTATCTCAAAAATGAAAACAACTTAGCTCCAAGTGGTTCATTTAATTTTTTTCAACCATTAATAGTTCCACACTAATTCCAAGAGTGGAGAAAGAATGAGTCAAGCGTTGGTTCCTTTGGATGAACATTTTAGACCCCATTGTATGGTAGCTGATGACACTTCTCATATTTGACTGTCCTGGTGTCATTATGAAAAAAAAAAAAGCAAGTTTTACAAGGTATTTGAAGTCTTTGTATTCTTTTCCCGAGACGTTTAAAATGTTGCTAAGCAAGCCATGTCCTTAAGGAGCTCTTGTTTTGATGTATGCCCTTCAGTCCTTCGCTGTCCTACCATGTCTGGCTTCTCAGTGCTCAGTGGCTTCTTCGCAAAGAAGTTGATTGAGTCTCCTTACTAATCAGCTTCAAAAATTTATTCTACTTCATCTTTTACGAGACTAAAACATTGTCTGAGCCACTTTGCATTATGTTGTCATAACAAACGTCCCGCAACCTTTGAAGGCTGAATGAAGTTGTTGCTATGGCTGGGTGTGCCAAGCTAAGCACAATTATATGGTTGAATGGGATTTTGTTTACTGTAATCAGTTCGCAGGGAATTTTGTGGGTTCTGACTTTTGTCTCTCCGTGTAGCTGCGGACGCTCAGCTAGCTGACAACTGATATTCTCCCCTTCCCCACTCCATCTGTCAGTAGATTTATCTATGAACTGCCTTTAGGCAGTAGAGCTTTGGGGAAAAAAAAGGAGAAAGTTATGTCACATAACTGATTATAGAGAAAGGTTTCTGTAGGCTGCATTTAACCTGACTTTCAGAAAGGATGTATGACCACAAAAAAAAAATGCTAAGTAAATGAGAGGACAGATTTGTTAATTAGCCTGATTTCAGTATTTCCCATTGTATACATATATAAGAACATCACCTCATACTCAAGTGAGTGGTTATAATTATGACTTTTCAATTAAAACAATGTTAAAAAAGATGAATAAAATTTTTAGGAGAGCAAAATAAAGGGAACCAATTTTTATCACTAAACATAGGGAAGACAGAAATTAAAACCAAAGCAGACACCTGAACCTGCACAGAAATCTTGGTGGAAGAGGAAGGAATGAGGCTCCCTGGACAGATGCTCTCTGAAGGAATGGGTTCCCCCCTGTGCAACCCTCTGTCTGTGGTGTCACATGCTCTCTCCTGTGCCCGCATGCGCTGAGTACCTTTGAGGTGCTCGGCACTAAAGGGAACTCTTGGCCCTCAGGTGAACACGCTGCTATACTTCCTCCAGGGATGGTGAGAAAGACAGGGGAGCTAACAGACCACCACACTGGGCCCGCTTCAGTTTTGGTAACAGGGCAGTGAGGTATTTGATGAACTTGGCTTAGACATTTTTTCTTTTCTGTTTTTCTTTTTGCGCCTTCAGGAGTTAAACCCGGATTCTCCTACATACTAGGGTGCTCTGCCACTGAATTACACCCAGCTCCTTTGTTTTCTTCTTGAACTAGACAATGAAATTAACAATAAGGCTGTTTTTTTTTTTAAATTGCTTTCTGCCAGAAATATTTGTGTGTAAATTAGCATACAATGTGGAGGTCAGATCTCTAGGATAGAATCACAGACGAGAGACAAGCACTTTAGGGTGTTCGGCAGGACAAAGTCTAAATAACTTTCAAAAGGCATTTGAAAAAAAAAACAAAATAGAAACAACATCTTATGATCAAGAAGGATACTTATTAATACAGGGTGGGTGAGTCTGGCCTTGGTAATTTTTCTCATGTCTCTTCCAAACAGATCTAGGTAAGTCCGGCCACAGTTAGTATTTTGGGAAATTAACGATGTCAAAGGGTGATAAATGGTTAATGTGAGAAGGAAAAACAGAAGTATTTGGATCAGCTGAGCTCGGTGCTATGTTCCCTAGGGGAGCAAGAAGTTGTGGCTGTAGACCCTCAGGTCATTATCTCGGAGACCGCATGGAGAACCAAAAAAGTCCCCAAAGAGTAGGAAAGGACAAATATGCCCATCTTTGCAACAGAAGTGGGAGAACACGGATGTCTCTTGTAATTAAAGACCTTCAGATTATTGATCTTTGGGGGACAATGAGGAAGCACCAGCACACCATCAATTAACTGGGGAACCCCGAGGCCGTGAAGAGCAATCAGTGTGGCTCTGCGAAGAGAAAAGTCTTATAGACATTTCGTTTCTAATAGCAACAAAATCGGGGTGGCAGAGCAGGGGGAGATCTTCAGTGTAATCTCTTTCACTAGATAACGGGGGAAGAGGAGAGTCTTGACCACATTGCCTTGACAAGCCGAACACAACTGGGTGGGATATCTGTGGATAATGAAGATGGGATGGGAGTGATGGAGAGATTGAGTGACAGCCCAGCAGGGACTGGTCCCCAGGGCCAGTATTTTCAGCTCACTTATTGACATTCTGGACAAAGCCCATCAAGAATGTGCATATCAAATTTGTAGGTCCAGAGTTTGGTGTGGTTTCGATTTTCTGGAAAACAGCAATAAAGTTATGAATGACCCCAGGACGTTGGAAACATAAGCCTATCATAATTCGGGTTGAAATGTAATAAGAAAATGTGCTTGTAAAGACTCAAACCCAACGGTACAAATATAGGATGGGTAAGGGTGTTGGAGACAAAAAAAAAAACCACGTGGGGGTCAGAAGTGACCACAAGCAGAATGCGAGTTAGGAACAAACTGTGGCTACACGCAAACCAGCACCACTCTGGGGTGGAGTCATTCACTCTTTCGTTCAATTTTTTTTTTTGAAAGAATGTTACTGAGCACTTGCTATGTATTTTTGTGTCTTTACATAGTCATTTATCCGTTATTAGTCAGAATGTTTTTGGAGCCTGAAAAATGAATTGGAAGAGAAAGCTGTCTCATTCACATAATCTAAAGCACTAGACAGACCTCTAAGACCAAAGTGAACGCCTATCCCCCGAGTTAACCCCTACCCTGCCTTTCCAGGCTCAGCTTTCCGTCATTACTGTCCTTTGGGGTCCCCTGTCTCTAGACGTGATTAATCGCTTTTCCCTCCCCGGCACCGCCCTGATTGCTGTCTCCTGGTTTCTGTTCGTGTGGTACTGAGGAAGGCATCTCAGTTCGGGGCACGCAGAGGAAGCCCCCCTACCACTGAACCGTATCCTCAGGCTCCTCTTTTACTTTGGTTTCTCGATAGGTGCTCAGGAACTTGCTTGGGCTGGCTTTGAACTCACTGTAAGCCACATACGTCTTGAACTTGGGAGTCTTCCTGCCTCAGCCACAGTAGCCTTGCAGGTCTAGCCCCGGGTCTGGCTCTTTTACGGGACACCTACTGATGTGTCAGGGACCATGCGAGGTTGTTGGTGGCACTGAGATGAGTAAGATGTGGCTTCTCCTTTGTGGAACACACGCGGCAGTGTGAGGGAGAAAGCTGGGAGCCAGTTTTCTAACCAGTCTAAGAAAGTCCATATGAAGATTGTGCTAGGCCTGGTGTGAGCTCAGGAGAGGCTGAAGCTGCCCTTCTTCCAGCTGCTGCCTCCTTGCTTTGCTTTGTGTTCTCTCATTTAATCCCCCCCTCCCTTCTCTGACTTTTTTTTTTTCTCCATCGGATAAACTTAGCCTCCCCCCACCCATGGCTCAGCGCAGGGCCACCTCTTCGGCAATGCCTTCCCTGATACGTCTAGGCAGAATTAGTAGCTGCTTTGTGCGCGCTCCCATAGTGCAGTGTTTGTGCGGCTATCGGGCTCTGGTGTAACTCTGCCTGGTAGTGCCTTGATTTGTTTACAAGTCTGTCTCCCTCCCTTGACTGAACTCCTTGAGAGCAAGGGCCTTGACTTGCTCAATTGATTTTCCTATAGCACCTCAAAGGGAGCCTGGCACCTCGTTGATGTTGCAAAAACATGTCTGTGAAGGATGAATGTGGGGGAGGGAGGTCTGGGCCTGGGTCTTGCTGGTATGGGGTCTGAGCGTCCTCTCCCTAGCCTGTCCTCACTGGCCAGTTCTCTTAAGGCCCTGCTAAAGGACCAAAAGGCAGCTACTTTTCCAGGAAGTCCAGGACTTTTACTTTGTTGAGTAAGGCATGGAAGCCAAGGCATGGAGGGCCTGGGTCACAAAGGAGTGACTGATGGTCACTGTGGGTCCAGGACTAATTAGACCAGAATTTTCTGAATTGTTTTATGGCTTTTTAAAAATAGAGAAGCCTTACTCTAAATTCTGCATTTCCAACTTCTTTTTTTAAAAGGAGAACATGTTTTGATAATGGTGTTCGTGCACCACAGTGGGCTAGCGCTGGCTGTGGTTACCCTCTTTGTGTAGAAGGATGTCTATAGATTAGTGTAGTCTCTATTACTTCCACCATTTCTTTTACACTGAGGGTAACTCATAGATTTCTTCTTTATAAAACATTTAACTCGCTGGGCGGTGGTGGCACACGCCTTTAATCCCAGCACTCGGGAGGCAGAGGCAGGCGGATCTCTGTGAGTTCGAGACCAGCCTGGTCTACAAGAGCTAGTTCTAGGACAGGCTCAAAAAAAAAAAAAAAACATTTAACTCAGTGGTGTTTAGCATATTGACAAGGTTTGTAACAGTTAGTAGTAACATCCAGGCCTTTTAAATCACTCTGAAAAGTAGCCTTGCGTTCACAGCCATCATCCCCGGTTTTTCTGCCCCTTTTCCCCAGGCAGTCTGTCTCACTAATCTTGCTTGTTATAGATAGAGCATATGAATGGAGCCCCATAATCTGTGATATTTTCTATGTGGCTTCTTTTGCTTAGTGCGATGTTCTCAGGGCTCATCGAGGCTGTAACATGGATCATTCTTCATTCACTTATATGGCTGACTAATTTTCCACCGCATGGCTGCATTCTGTTTTGTTCACTTTCTTAGTAGCTAGTAAAGATTGGAGGTTGTTTAGATCCTTTGGTGTTTATGGATAGTGCTTATAGCTTATACCCATATGAGTGAACTCAGCCGCTTCTTACTTCTATCCCAGCTAGTTCATTTCCACTGGTAGTGTGCTTCCCTTTTGATAATTGTGCTAGATATTGTGAGAGGTGGGAAAAAGGTAAGACAGCAGAAACGGTAGAAGAGGTATGTGTACTGGGCATCTAACAGTGAGAAGCAATGCCTAAAGAGAGGAAGCAGAAAGCTAAGCGGTCAAGTTTCCATAAGACAGCCTAGGAAGAAAGGAGGCAGAGAGCATGCAGTGGAATGGGAAGGGTTTCAGGCTAGGTATCAGGGTGTGGGTCTCTCCCTTTGGGTAATGGAACATTGGCAGGCTATTTCGTTGAAATGTGTATCTTCATATATGGCCTGGACACAGAATTATTTAGCCTTACTGGCCTTTCATGAGAACCCGATGATAACTTAGATGTGGCAGGTCTGAATAATATAGTACACATGTGTGAGATTAATGTGCTTAGATAACTTCACACTCAAGATGTCCACTCCCTAGAGGGACCCCTGAAGGTCATAGTTAGAGTAAGCATTATCCACGGGCAGCCTTCTTGTTGGAAGGACCCTCACTGCCACTCAGTTCTCTCAGCAGGACTCTATTGTCCATAACACTTCTTTTACTTCCCAAGCAAACAGGAGGATTTTTCTCTCCTAGATACACGAGAAAGACCAATTTAGAAGGCCTGGGCCTTAAGAAGGTTGGGGGGTTTGAAGAGTTGGGTTTCGAAGCTCACTCGGGTTCCCAGGGATTAATAAAATAGTTATGGGCTAAGATGTTGTTGAAGCCTTTGCCTGTTTTGAATACCCAGTTGTGAACTGTATAAGTTTTGTACAGCATTTCTTATTTTTAAGAGAAGGGAGATGGCATGATGGAGCACCTCAAGGGATGACTGGCCAGGAGCAGAGGTCTCCACAGGAAGGTGGAGGAGGAGCTGGATTGGAAGTGGTCTGAGGGAAACCTAGTATTGCTTTGGTTGTCTTAAGTGGAGAAGTGCTAGGAATCGTGAACATTTGCTATGTTCCTTACTCTCTGATGTTGATCAGAACCCTGTGAGGTGGGGTTTCCTGCACAAGAGGAGACAAAGGGCTGAAAAATAACTCCCTTTGGCCACAAAACTGAAGGAATGGAATAGCAGCAATACCCTAGTCACCCTAGTTTTAAAGGGATACAAACCCCAGCCACACTAGCTGTTTGTGTGCACCTTAAATAGCTAACTCACTTTCACTCCCGAGGAGTGCCTAATACAAGAATGAGTCTGCTCACCACTTGCCCTGGCCCAAACCAGGACAAAGTCCCACATGGCAAAGGTAACCTTAATGGTCAAGGCCGATAGCTCTGGATTTGATTTGGTAGAGCTGACAGAGGGTGGGTGTATGTGTGAAGAGGGTGGGGGCGGGGAACGCAGACACACTCATGGCTCCCCTCTTCACCTTTTATAAGCAAGTGCTAAAAGAAACATTTAAGAAATTGAGTTTTTACAGGGTGACTAATACACTAATCCCCTATAGGGATAAACTGGGGCCTGGGCTACCTTTGCTCCTAGAAACACAGGCCCCAGCATGATATAATACCTGGTTTCTCCTAGACTTATTACATTAAAAAATGTGTTACAGGTGCAGAAAAATTCCAATCTGGTGAAAGGTTGTTAGAGAAGGAGACCAAAAATAGAGGCAGGCTCAGGTTTCCACACAGATCCAAGTGGAAAATTCACCCCCGCTGACTGGCGCATTCCTGCTTGACGTCATTCCCACCAAACCCTCTCCCTTCTCTCCCCCCCCCACCGCCTCTCTCCCACCTCCCAAGCAGGTCTTGTGCTGGACAGGAAATGGAGAGTAAGACTCTTAGGGTTGGTAGCCAAACACTGAAGACCGGAGACATAATTCTATCAGGAGCAGGCTTTGACAACTCAACATGAAGGCTGAAGTAGACTTTGGTGGTCCTAAGATGGCTAGACATGGAGCAATAAGGAGCCTCACTCTCCTCTTTCAAAGTCTGGGGGCCGTAAGGCATCCATCCCCATGTGGGTCTGTGTGGAGCAGGGCTCTCCTTCCCTCTTAATCGGACTGGATGGATTTGTAGCTATACATCCCATCGTGGCTCAGTACAGATGCTGCCCCCAGCTTCTCTACCCAATTCTACCTGATGAATTCTATACACTCAGTGGATTTAAAAAAAAAAATGAAAGAAAAAGAAGCAGCTTGAAGTTCATGTCACATGCGAGTCTGTGTGCCATGTAGGTAGCCAGGCCTGTGGCTAGTGTTGTCATCTAGCCCGGGTCTGCATGTGAGTTGCTCTGGCTTGAAGTTTGGTGGTTACTGGGAGCTCTTGTCTTCCACCTTCACGAAAATCCTAAGTCAGTATTTACTAAGTCTCTCCCTTGTATCGCGGAATGTAACTGACAGCTGAAAGAACCCCCCCCCCCCCCCCCATCAGATGATCTTGAGTTGAACTCTCAGTTTTGGTATTTTGTCGCTATGTGGCTAGGGCCACATTCTGTGGCCTTCATCCCCTGAACCTAATGCAGTGTCTAGTCCCTTCTTTCAGAAAAAGAATATAGGGCTGGTGCGATGGCTGAGCGGGGCAAGGTGCTTGCCTCCAAGCCTGAGGTCAATCCTGGGACCCTCAAGGTAGAAGGAGGGAGGTGATCCTTACAAGTTGTCCTCTGACCTCCACGTGGGCACTGTGGCATACTCCCTCTCCCTAATAAAGGGACCCTACAGAGAAAGAACATAAACTTTTAAATATCAATTGCTGGGTGCCTTGAAAAGGAATTGCCCAAGTGAAGGACAAAATGGGGCCAGAGCTTCATTAATTGTACTCAGTCAGCCTCTGTGTGCCACCCTGTGTCTCGTAACTTCTTTGAGACCCATTCCTAAACTGGACTTAATTGTGCCTCGCTGCCTTGTGGGTATTAGGAAGAACAACCAAGAATATGTGTGATGCCGCACCCCTGGTACTGTACTCTCCATCCTGGTACTGAGTAAATGTTAGCCTCTGCAGGTTGTCTCAGTTCTTCTCACTGGCCCATCAATGTTCAAGTCTGAATCTGAATTGTACCCCATACATTTTGTATTTTGATTGCTTGCTTCCCTGACTGGTAGAGTCTTGCAGGGCTATGGGGCCTTCAGGAGATAGGACCCGGCTGTGAGAGTCTTTGGAGGTTATTGGTCTCACCTAGTCCCTGGTTCTGGCCACTCCCTGCTTCCTGGTTTGTGACAACACGAGCAGCTGTTGTGCCAGGCTCCTTGCACCCTGGCTGAGTCACTGTGCCTTGCGTTTCCATGCCATGCTGTGATGGACTGTAACACTCTGAAACTGTGAGCCGGCATAAACCTTCTCCCCTCATGTTGTTTCTCTGGGTGATATTTTGGTCATAGTCATGGGAAAGTGACTCAGACAATTGTCAGGGTGTTTTCAGAGCACCTACTCTCCAGGTTGCTTGATCAGTTCCATGCGTAGACGGAAATCAATGAAAGTAACCCACAGCATCGTTGCTATCTGGAATCTCAGGACTCGACCGCATCACCATACATGTGAATGGCTCTTGGCGTATTGTATTAGAGCTGCTGTAACTATCTTAGAACACAAATATCCAAAAATTGAAAAAATCCTACATACCTGAATGGTTATTAGTAAAATATCTAAGGCTGTTGGCTCCTCAGGAGTTGACAGGGACTTCCTCTGGCTCTGCAGTTTTGAGATCTGCATCCATTTGCCATTAAAAAAGGAATAAAGCATCTCCACTTCTCTGATGGTGACTATGAGGATGTTGCCATGGCGATCTTTAATGGGCTCATAGTAAAGTCTTCCCAAGTTGTGCGTTCCAAGTAAATTCTAGAAACCAACAGATTGCTGGTAGCTTAGTTGATAATTGCAAAAAAGAACAACAAAACCGCAACACAAGACACTGAAAACTGCCGGAATTCTGAGGGGCTCTTCGTGCTTTGCAGACTGAGACCTAACGTAGGTGGCCTTGCAGCAATGTGCTTTAACAAAAAGCTCAAAGAAAAGTCTCCACTGTGAGCCTGCAGAGGTTATAGCAAGAGGCACAGACGTTATATTTTTTTAAGCAAATTCAATATCTGTAAATATCTTTTGCCCACATAGACACACCAGCACGTAAACCTCAGTGACCAGCACTTGAAGAGAATCCCAGATGTTTTAAAGAAAAATGTCTGACATTTCAAGTATGCTACTTGTGGAGTTTTCAAGAGATCTACAGTAAGCTAGTATGAGGAGGGGTTGTTTAAAATGAAGAAGTGAATTGACAATGTGGCACATTGTACGAGGTCCCCTGATGACTGTGCACTCCTTGCAAGGTTCTTTAATCAGGAGGTCGGCCTGGCTTGACTTATCTGCATCTCAGGGAGCTCTGTTTACTGAAAGGTTTGTTGAAATTGCTTAGACACGCTGTCAACAGACGCAGACAATACTTTTAGAAAAGTCAGATGGATGAGGCCTTAAATATGAAGGCGCGGAGGCAGGACTCATTAAAAGAAAGAAAAATTGTATAAATAGGAAAGGGGGTAAAGATCTCTAGAGCCAAGAGTGTTAGATGATTGGAATCAAATCCCATACAAACCATTGCAGAGTTCGCGTGTGTGTGTGCATGTGTGTGCATGTGCATGTGTGTGCGTGAACTCACATGAATGACGATGTGATGACGTGCTTGCGTGAGAGCTGGTGTAGAACTGGAATTTGTAAAAACGACAAGGTTGACCTAAAAATCAACAAGCCAGCTGGTTAGTATTCGAATCTCAAACCCTGAAGTGTTTGCTCATTGATTGGCGACTGTGTCTTAAGCCTTTTTTTTTCCTCCTTACCAAAACCAGACACAGAACGAGTAAGGAACTTTGTAAGTAATTATGGACAAGATTCATTTGGTAAGATTAATTTTTAAGTGACCTAATCACTCAAAATTTTCTTTTCTAACAAATTACTCGTAAATCATAAACCCTTCTTTGGTAAGATTTTTAGTCTACATCTCTGTAGCGCTATGGTTTTATATAAACACTTTATTATATGAGCAGTTGTGCCTGTGAACTGCCATACCAAAACAAACAGGAGGGCATGGACTGGGGTGGCTGGTTTGTAGTGAGTGACAGTCTTTATAATGTAGTCCATTCCAAGCCACCTAGGATATGACAATACGCTTCCAAAGTTGAAGATTTAACTGTTGGTTTCCCGAGCCAGTAACGAGCTGGTTCTAGCACACCACAGCTATTAAGACTCTTGCATACAGGTGTTGAGTCTCAGGACTGGCTACCATTCATTAACTATTAGACTGTTTCCTTTCTCTGGTCCCGAGCTTCACCATCTTAAATGAAAGGCCCTTACAGTTGAGGCACCACCTTGGCTAAGGCTTACCTCATAGAGTATCCAGGGGATTAAATCAAGCAACGCATGAAAACGTGTTTTTACAGACTCTCAAGCCTGCTTCCCTGTTGAATATGGGATTTTTAAAAATCTGTTGTAATTCAAATCCCCTCCTGGTCTCCACCTATATTTTCTAGACCCAGCCCAGTTCCAGATCCTCCGGGAAGACATTTCTAACTCTGTTATGATCTGAATATTCAATATTCCCCCAACAGGCTCATTGAGAGGTGACTAGACCATGAGGCTCTGATCAGTGGATTCTTCCATTGAGAGATTCATAATTTGATGGCATTTTTGGAGATAATGAAAACTAGGAAATGAGGCAGGGCGGGGACGTATATTACTGAGAGTATTCATTCGGAGGGTATAGTGTATCCCCGGCTCTTCATGGTTTTTGTGCTTTTTGGTCACTATGAGATAGCAGCTCCCTCTGCACATGTAAATGTTGTTATGATATTGTCAGACCAAGTAGCAGGACAAGTCAAAGTGGGCAGAGGCCTTTGAAACTGTGAGGCAAAACAATGCTCTTTCCCTCTGTAGAGTGTTCCTTTTGGGTGGGTCAGAGTGACAGAAAAGCTACCTAGTAGAATCTCAGGTAGAATTCACCATCCTTTCTTTTCTGTTCTCGTTTTGTGCACAAAATTCTTAAGATGCATCTGACTGTACTCTGTGCAACTGAAATACCTGTTGTGAGACGTGGCTCTTTTCTTTCTGTGTCTCTAGGTCTTTTCACAGTGCATAGGAAGAGCTCAGTAATAGTTGAATTACCAAACATATTCCTTAGTACACAGCACATAATTTAAAATTGATAATACTGAAGTGGCCATTTTAATAAAGTTATGAGTAAAGCCAACTTATGATGGCTTTCTCTCAGATTCAAAAATGTTTTCTTTCCTTCCTTTCTTCCTTCCTCCCTTTGTTTCCTTCTCCCTCCCTCCTTCTCTCTCCCTCCTTTCCTCCTCCCCTCTTATAGCCCTTGCTGGCCTAGAACTTGCTATGAAGACCAGGCTGGCCTTGAACTCACAGGCCTACCTCTGCCTCCAGAGTGCTCTGATTAAAGGTACATGCTACCAGACCCAGCTGGATAGGTTTTCTAACAAGTTGAATAAGAAAGCACTAAAACCTTCCTGGTATTCTTCCTTGATATAAAAATGATTTGGATAGTTAGCTTTGGGGGAGGGGCTCCTTTGGACCCGAAAGGAGGAATAGATGGTGGTAATACCTGTCATGCTATGTTAGGCAACTTGGGCCCTAATGATCCTATGTGGTAAAGTGGGGGGAGACCTGTGAGATGTTTAGCACAGCCAGAAGACCTAAGTGAGCAGCAGTCAGCTGTAGCCAGGAGGCACCATTCTTAGTGATTTATTTAGTTTGAGATGGCATGAAACGTTAAGGAAGCCCAGAGGGGAGAAGAAAGACAAGAAAGTGACGCCGTGCCAAACATTGCTCTGAATAAAGAGTGAAGGTCGTGTGGGAGAGACTGACCTAACTCTGAGTCTAAAGAGAGGCTCCCCAAGGAAGTACAGACACCAAGCTGAGACCTAAAGGCTGGATAGGAATTAGTAAGGCAAAGAAGTGAAAGAAGAGAGGATGCTAAGCAGAACGTGGCATGTAAGTTAGCAGAGGAGACCGAGAAAGACAGATCAGAAACTGTGCAAAGACCAGGAGAGGATGGCAGTATGGAAGCCAAAGACTGTGTAAGTTTCAAGAAGCAAAACAGGACCAGCTGCAGCAAATCCTGCTAGATGTCGGTAGCAAAGAGGGCTCACGAGTGTTCATTGGATTTCGTGCCCCTGAAGACATGGCGGGATGGAGAAAAGTTTCATCAAGGCTACAGTATCCGGGGGTTCTACAAAAGTAGGTGTAAAAGTGGATATTTATTTAGAATGAAAAACAAAAATCCTCTTTCCCTTCCTTCCTCTGCCAATACTGGAGAGGCGTGGGATAGAGCTGGTATATAGGCATGGATAGAGCTGGTCTATAGGCGTGGTATAGAGCTGGTATATAGGCATGGATAGAGCTGGTATATAGGCGTGGTATAGAGCTGGTAAATAGGTGTGGTATAGAGCTGGTAAATAGGCGTGGTATAGAGCTGGTATATAGGCGTGGTATAGAGCTGGT